GGTTTTATAATTAACGATATAGCTTAATAGTAATCTTAATCGTAGGAATCCTAAGATACTCGAAATAGATAATACTCCTATAAATTATATAATAAGGGAATTCCCTATTATTAAGCTTATATAAAAGTCCTAAAGTATTTAAATATAAAATAGTATTCTTACGATTATTTATAAAACGTAATCGATAAGCTTATATATAGTAAATATACTATTTATAAGATCGATCTTAATTTCTCTAGCTCTAGCTATTCTATATTATATTAAATATAATATTAATTAATATTAAGAGGGCTTTATTTATTTATATAAACCTTAATCTAGTACTTCCGCTATATTTATAAGCTCTAAATAAGTAGGGTATCTAATAAGTCTTATAATAGTTAATTCTTATATCTAATTCTTCTACTTCTCTAAGTTACTATTACCTACGTAAGTTAGATATACCTATCTACTCTTAGCGATCACGTAAGCCGTAGTTCACGTGCTCTTGAGAGTAGTGGATCCCAGATATCCCAGATACCTTAGATATCACCATCCTAGCCATAGAGTTCCCTAATATTGGTTCAACATCGATGGTGATTTTCAGGGTAAGTTAACGCTTCGGCCAGGCACAAGCGATAACCTTCTGTTTGAGTGTGTACGTCCATTCTGCTACGCAGCATATTAATGTAGAACCCAGGTCGTCTTGATTTCCTTTTCCTGAACGCTGGCATTCAACCCTCGTCTGGATGGAAAGACACCTCGTCCTTCCAAGCTATCTTCAACGTCAACTTGTTCGGCGTTGTTCATGGCATTTCCACCTTCTTGCCAACGATCAAGGCCACGCCTGATTCTGCCATAGTCATTACCGGATCAAAGCAGGGGATCACCAACCCGCCTAGCAACCCTACATACAACGCAAGCAAGTCAGCTGTCAAGTCAATTGCGGAGCATCTGTCGTACGACCTGAAAGATGCAACAACCAACGTGCATCTTCTTGTGCCAGGTTGGACATTCACCGGCTTGAGCCGGAGCAACTCTCAATCAAGTGGCGAGAAGCCCGCTGGTGCTTGGACCTTAGAGCAGGTTGCCAACTACTTGGTGGAGAAGATGACTCAAAACGAGTTCTACATTATTTGCCCCGACAGTGAGGTTGCCGAGGAGATGGATGCCAAAAGAATAGCATGGGCAGCATAAGATTTGGTACGCCGCCGCCCGCCTCTGAGTCGATGGCGGGAGGAGTTCAAGGAAGAATTCTCGAACTGGAACGCCACCTGATTGGCAGACACCGTATTGGATATTATTTTATCTTAGCTACAGCGACTCATACAGAGATTGTATGATCGAGGTGTCTTCAACAGTTGGTGAAACTTAGGGAATCGTACATGGCAATGGATTACAATGTCTGGTGTGGAACGAACCGTATCAAGACCTGCTCAGCCCTTCGTCAGCATTCATCTTTGAAAACGTATTTCTTCTCGAACAGAACCATCGGTCACGTGAACCTTTTGACATCAAGCTGTCGAATTATTTCCATGTCTGCTGTGTGACATATTTTGGAAATGTCTCAGGGTGCTGTATTTGCCTTAGAGAATTCTCTTGTGACTTCAGCGCAGTCCAAAATTCAACACTGCTCCGTTGATGGGGCAAAGGTACTGCAAATGAAGTGAAGTCAGAATTTCAATCTCAAAAGCGTCTAACATGAGTGAACAAACAAAGAGGCCTTCCGGGGAGATACAAGCCCGGGTCGTTGAACTGAAGGCCTAGGTCCAACCCAAAGATTTCCTCCAGCTCCTGCGTATGAAGGTCAAAGTTAAGAGCGCTCAAGTTCCAGTTTGCCGTCATGCCCACCTGGGTCTTTGTAAACCCCGGCCAGGAAGAAAGAGACAAGGCAGCCGCTTCCAACGGCTCGTGGATCATCTGGGGCGTGGTAATTACAAACTGGTAGGCTACCGGTGATAATAATGAGCTCTGCGGTACATGCTGACACTGACAGGGCTGGCTACGCCTGTGCGACGTATCAGGCTGATGTGTAATTCCGCTTTTCTTGTGACATGCATTCTCTCGAGCGTATTTGTAATTCACACAAGAACGGCCACCAAAGCATTACAGATGCTGTTGGGGGATATGCATCGACGAGGACGCTGAGCGCCAATGACGGAGATGATGGCTGCGACAAGAGAAGGGTCGTCGAATTGGCAATGCTTGATTGTTCCTGAAAGGATCCCAGTTCCAACAGGCTTAATGGCTTGTATATCTGAAAAAGGAACAGATGAGTAATGCCAAAGGGGGTTGTCAGGCAGATGATTTCGACGTTACTCGTTTGAGCACATCGTTGTCTTCATGCCCTATAATACTCGCTGCTTCCGCAGCGATGTTCTGTTGGTTGTGTGTATCGCAATAGTATCTGCACCACTGTCGGTAGCTCGGTGAATTACCAACAAATCGTACGAACACTCAGCCTTCATCGGAGGGGATACTGGATCTGACGCAATCCATCCGAATCTAGGCAGATGTATGCTTACACCACTTCCATGAGCTACCTGGTTGCAGGGGCGGAGGTTTACTCCTATAAACCAACATTCAATTGCAAGAAACGACCGGTCGAAGCCCGAAGGCACCCGGTGGCCTCAGAGGCGCCGGAAGTGTCTATGGAACCAGGCTCGTGCAGTATCTGGACTCATTTATTGCAGGCCACCAACCAGGTAACGGCACAAAGACGCGAGACCTTGTGTCTTGATGGAAGACAGTATGCCACGAGGCATTCTAACGTTAGAGTGCTGGTTTGAAGGGAGTGCTGGTTTGAAGGGAGTGCTGGTTTGAAGGGAATGCATCATGATTGCTCTAAGAGTTCTGATCCATAGAACATGGTCGGAGAAGGATCGGGACATACCACCTTGATGTTCCAGAACTAGGACGTTTGGCGACTTACCGCTTGGCGACTAACTCTTGAGCAATACCAGCTTCAAGGGCCTTGGCACTGATATGACGCCAGTTTGACCTCATTCATGACTACAACATGATATCTATTTGATTCAAGGCTTGCCGGCAAGCCATCAAAGGTTGCGTTGTTGGACGAAGCCCATATAAGCTATGATAAAACTAAGGAAACTAATTCGCCATGACATGAATCTAAGTCAACACCGCCATTCCCATGGCATTCTTACCAGCCCCCATGTTTCCCAACTGGAAATGCTGAACCTGCTTCTTTCTTTTGGCATCCACGACCGTCACTGCGGCTTGTGTTGTTCCGTTCCCGGGGCTGAGGGCATAGATGAACTGCCCGGAAGCCCTGAGGTCAATCAGGCCAGGATCGCCATTCGCGCTCAAGTCGATCTCGCTAATGATGTTAGCATCCGCCGTGGACATCTCCACCAGCCTGTTCCTTCCGACGTCGGTAACAAAGGCTGTACCCGTAGCCGGAGAGACAGTGGCCCAACACGTCGCAGCTTGGCCATCCACGAGCCCCTTGCCCTTGAGAGTGGCGTTGCCGCTCTTGGCATCCACAGAAAGTACAGCGCCACCGAAGGAAGCATCCGTGACGAAGATGTCAGTGGTTCCAGGAATGGCGGACGAGCCAAAGAGTACGGCTGTGCCTTCTGGGGATGTTCGCCTATCCTCCTGGCTAACAGAGGCGGCGCATCCTCCTGCGTTACTGGCCTGCACGGCAAAGGAGGAGAGGAACCCGGTATTGTTCTTCGTGGGATCGCCCTTGACGGTAGTGAACAAAGTGTTCTGGTCGTCTGAGAAGAAGACCTGGGAGACTGTGTTTGTCGGTCCGACGGGCGGCGTGGTCTGCTTCAAGTCAAAAGGCCGGAGGTTGTCCATGGCACCTATGCCATTCTTCGTAAAGGGTGCACACGCAACACCCGCCACCGCACCAGACGTTCCGACACAGACGATTGAATTTTTTGAAGACGCTGCCACCGTATTGGGAAACTCGCCTGGCACCGCGACGGGCTCGCCGACGACTTGGAGCTTGATAGGGTCTTTCTTGTCTATAAGGAACATGGTGATCGTGTTGGAACCGGCGTTGACAGCAAACAAGCTCTGCAGAATTATAGTTAGACGACTGTCTTGAAAGATAAAGATGGGAGATCTATATCCAAGGTATCAAGGGAACCACTTACATGTCCGGCTACAGTCAAGGCAGACTGAGACACTAGAGCATCCGGGGCGGCAGGCTGCCTCGTGCTGCCGTCGACGGAATTGGAGCCTGCCCCGCCGGTTGCAGTCTGCTGGCCAGCCTTAAGCAAGCCGTCGACGCCAATCGGTAAGGCGATGACGCTGTTCTTGACTTCATTCGATAGAAGGTAAACGGCCTTCTCGGCCTGACTGGCGGCCTTACACGAAGATGATCCCGAGGGCCGTGCAGAGACGCCGACAATGGAGGGAGCCAAGGCAAGTATAAGATGCGATGTTTGGAAATGCATTGTAAACTTGGCGGTACAGAGGCCGACGTGTTCTGAAGTTCTGAGACAACGACGATCGTGATCCAGAGAACTGGCGATGAGTATAAAAGGGAGGATGCTGCTGTGTGTTGATTTCACGAGAAAGTATATGATTATCTGAAAAGAGCAGCGCGCGAGCTCTAATATATCTCATCACTCTGTACGGCAGCAAAGACTTCCATTGTACATTTCCAATCACGGATTGCCATCATGTAGAGCTTTGTATCTCTCATCAGGATTGCCAAATCGGGAAATCTATTAAGAGGTTTGACGGGGATTTGCTTCCCACATAAGCCCTGGCCCCTTCAGACGAACGTGGGAACGTGGAGACTCACTATTGACATGGGGGGGCGAATATCATTGCGAGAATGAGAGGTCGCTGGTGATCAGAATTTCCTCTTTTGGACAGGCGGATAGGTCTGGGGTCGGGTTTCAGATCGGCACTCCGCGAGGGGCAACCAACCTGATACCTCCTGATGGGTCATGCATGCATGGTCGTATTTTCTTTGACTCATCCAGATGTTCGGCTCCATGTTCCGACCGAGGTGACATTATGTCGCCATCAACGTCATTGTCGTGCCCTGGACCAAGGCCTTCTACTGACATACCAAACCATTTGTCTGGCTGTAGCAGTATGCCCTCTGGAAACTAGGGCGGACCGTCAACTCTGAGAAGCAAAAGGGAGACAAATCTGTCGAGGTTTTGAAACTCGGAGCGTTCAAGCCAGTACAGAGTCGCAGGTCTAGGCCTCCTTCAGGCCATTGCCACAATGCGAGATCCATTGTAACAGCAGGGCAAGATAGGTACTCAAGTGGATGGATTACCACTACTCAATGTCCAGGGTATTGAAATGGGAGGCCGTATTGAGATTACAGCCACTTAGACCAAACAGCACGCTGCCAATGAATTTTCCAGCTCGGGATTGCCAAACACAAGTGTTTTATACACGAAGTCCTATCTGAAGGAATTAAGAAACACAATTTTGGCACGAAGTGCCTCTATCAAGGATCACAGCTGTCAGATGTGGCCGAGTCCTGTGCTGTCTGGTCATCTGTTCCGTTCCGCGGATTGCCAGTGAACAGGTTGCCTTGGTTGGCACCGCCCTTGTTTTGCGACGAAGATTGGGCTCGGCCACCCTGAACAGGACCTGGAGCAGCTTTGTTTCCCTTGCCACCGTTTGCGGGATCTGGCTGGCCTTGGAAACGATAACCGCCGCCTTGTGTGCCGTTCCGGTAAACTCCAGACTGATCCTCAATCTTTCCCTGGGCACCTTGCGTCTGACCGCTGTTGCCCTGAGCTTGACCGTTGATGTCCTTAGCCTGGCCCTGATTTCCCTGAGCCTGGTCCTGGCCACCTTGAGTCTGACCGTAGTTGCCTTGAGATTGACCGTTATTGTCCTTAGCCTGGCCCTGGCCACCCTGAGCTTTACCGTTGTTGCCCTTCGCCTGACCCTGGCCACCCTGAGTCTGACCTTGACCGTTGTTGCCCTGGGCCTGACCGTTCTTGTCCTTCGTCTGACCCTGGCCTTGACCGTTGTTGCCCTGGGCCTGATCGTTCTTGTCCTTCGTCTGACCCTGGCCTTGACCGTTATTGTCCTTAGCCTGGCCTTGGCCACCCTGAGTCTGGCCTTGACCGTTGTTGCCCTGGGCCTGACCGTTCTTGTCCTTCGTCTGACCCTGGCCTTGACCGTTGTTGCCCTGAGCCTGGCCGTTGCGGTCCATAGCCTGGCCTTGGCCACCCTGAGTCTGGCCTTGACCGTTATTGCCCTGAGCCTGGCCCTGGTTTCCCTGAGCTTGGCCTTGGCCACCTTGAGTCTGGCCTTGACCGTTGTTGCCCTGACCTTGGCCTTGACCTTGACCCTGACCTTGGCCTTGACCTTGACCCTGACCTTGGCCTTGGCCTTGACCGTTGTTGCCCTTAGTCTGGCCTTGGCCACCTTGAGCCTGACCGTTGTTGCCCTGTCCTTGGCCTTGACCTTGACCGTTGCCTTGACCTTGACCGTTGCCTTGACCTTGACCGTTGTTGCCCTGTCCTTGGCCTTGACCTTGACCGTTGTTGCCCTGTCCTTGGCCTTGACCTTGACCGTTGCCTTGA